GTAGTAAAGAAAAACAAGGCCTAAAGAGAAATTCATATGATGCTTACACAACTCTCCATCCCTCTTATTCTCAGTTGGCGATTCCGGTATGCTTTCCAAATCTGAAGTACGAGAATACTTCCGTGAGCCAGCACTTTTAATGCTAGCTTGACTGGACTAAAAAGAATCTTTAAAAAAATTGCCAAAAATCTTGAGGTTCTCCCATAATCCACAAAAAAAACCCTTGCAGAAAACAACAGTAAATGAAGATTAATTAACAAATGATCAACAAAATATGAGAACAAACGAACCAAAAAAGAACACATAAGCCGCATGTTTATTAACAGAGCTTACTCGGCGACTTCCTATTCAGGATTATTCCAAACCTTGAAATTATTTTAAAAACAACCTTAAACAATTTTTTCGCTGCTATTTCTTCAGAGGTCGCAAGAGAGCGTTTTGACGTTAAGTAAGACACAATCAGCATAAAAGACAAAGCTACAGGCACGGCTGCGGCGCCCCACGGCTCAAGGAAGACAACTCGTCTCGAATCTCTCTAAAAGTAACGAAATTAAATAACCTAGTTTAAGATACTTGATTAAAACTCAGTGGTCACCTCAAAAAAGTAGATCGCATAAGAACGAAGGCATCCTGCATAAATCGTCAAACTAGCAATAACTAAAATACAACAAATAGACAGGAATCTACTATATTCCATCCAAAAGCCTGTCCCTCTGCTTGCTGAAATCCCACAAGAAAAGAACCTGCAAAGTCGATGTTGAAAGTAAAACAATAACTGAACCAAAAAGCACCCGTAAATTTTTAGCTGCTAATAGGATAAAAACTGAATTCGTTTTATAGTTACATATTCTTGTTTCCTAGCAAAACAGATCAGTAATAAAAACAAGTGAACAATGTCTTAAGCTGGCAAATTTTACTGTAAATGTAAAAATAGTATAAAGTTAAACGCAAAGGTAGTGACAAAATACAAATTTTCCTTATTAAAGGAGAAGTAAGATGACAGTGGAGCGAAAGTAACTGCGAGAAGACTCCCAGGAGCTACTATGAGTACTATCATAAGTTATGAAGAAGGCAGTCTAAAAAGCAAAAACAATATTCTTCTACCAAAGAAAATTTTTAAAATTTAAAAACATTACAAAATAAGGTGCATATATATATTTATTTATATCTATATATACTTAGCTACTACTTAAAACTTGTCGCAAAATGAAAAAAAAAAAAAAAGAACAAACAACGAAGAAATAAGATAACATTTAAACGCATTCAACAGAATCCAAAAAAGTGACAAAGAAATAGAGAAGAAAGAGAGAGTAGTGAAAATATGGAAAATAATAAGAAACATATAATGGTACCCATCATTTGACATACGAATAAAAATAAACAGAATGAACAACATGTGTAATACCAAAGTAGGAAAAGTGGCGAAAAAATGATATAAAATGAACGAAGTGGAGGGAACTGTTAGGAACAAGTTTAACAAATAAATTTTTTGATTCCAGTATATGTGCTCCTTTCAAAACCAGCAAAATTCAGCCGTTTGAAGGAGATTTCTGAAGTGTTGCTAGAATGTCCTGCGATTTTTACACCATAAACTTCGAAAAACACATAGCCAATACTTATCGCTATGGGGAGTAGAAATATTTTTACAGGAAGATGAGCAAAGTCGAAACATGTCACGCGTTGAGAACACTCACGACAGCAATAAAAAATTTCCTTCATACGTGAAGAGAATAGAAAAGTAAGGAGTTAAAACCGGATAAAACTTAGGTAAAAATCAATGAAAGATTCGGGTAAAAACAAAATATGAAAAATTTGCAACAAAATATTAGCTTATTTGTAAGCATAATAGAAATGAAAACAAACGAAAAAAAAAAACTAATCAAATTATCTTCCACTTGGCATTTTAACACTCCTCCTAGTTGTCTGTACCCCCAAAACATTTCACAGACAACAGTAAAAATAACCCGCAAAAACTAACAGCCGCACACAGCACAGACCCGATGCTTATCTGCGTTTGCTGCTGATCAGCTTAACCGATATACTCGGGATTGCGTCTGCAGAAGAAGAGGGCTGGAAAAGTAACGGAAAGCAAAAGCAAAGTACCATAAAAGTCAAGCTTTATTGGCTTTACATAAATTTCAACGAAGAAAGAAAACAAAAAAATGAACCGATAGAAACCTCCAGAAAATAAAACTCTGGAAGTAACTTGAGAAGATAAAAACCTTCAAATGGCGTGAATGTGATTAATTAATAATGAAACTGCCGCTGACACAGAAAAAATGTCGGTATTTAGAATTCTGAGTAAAAAACGAACTGATAATTGAAGAAAAAAAACGGCAAAAAACTAAAATTTGGTGTCCTTTTCAATGGACAATTAAGACGCTGTTATAAGATCCTACACAAGCTACAGAAAAAGAAAAAAACTGCATAAAAATTTTCGGCTGACGATCAAAAGGATTCTACCTCAAATAAGAACAGCGTCAAAAAAAAAAACAAAAAAACATTACGCATCGAGGACGTCAAAGAAAACAACAGTCAAAGGAACAGTCCGGACATAAAACAACGCAGTAACGTCACTGATCGAATTCGGCCGGCATTCTCTCTCCCTCCCTCTCTCGGAGTTCCTGAGCACTATTGCCGTTCTTCAAGAAAAAAAAAAGAAAAAAAAAACAGAGTTACCCGCCGCTGCGGTTGCTG